AAAATCCTAGAAAACATAATTTCCAATGATTAAATTACAATAAAACTAGCAATAAGATAAAAACAGCAAGAAAAACTCTCTTAACACAGAAAAGTCCTAGGCCCAATGATTTCATTGCTGTGTTATATCAAACATTCAAGCAATTAAAGCTAGTTTTTCTCAAACTCTTCAAAACTTGAATACTAATTATTGTATGATGCTAGCATTACCCAGATACTAAGGACAAAGAAACTACAGACAAAAAGAAAGAGAAGAAAGAGAGAAAGAAAAGTATAGACTGATGTTGCTTCTCAACATTGATACAAAAATCCTCAATAAAATACTAGGAAACCCAGTTCAGCACCATGTAAAACCTTGGAGAATCAGGACTTATTACCGAATATAAAAGTAATTCAACACAGAAAATTAATGTAATAAAACATATTCCTTATCAAAATCCCAAGGAAATTTTCTAGGGAAAGAGGAATATAGCAAAATCTTATATGGAATTTCAAGGAACCCCAAACACCCAAAACAACTGTGAGTAAGAACATGGTGCTGGCAAAAAGACAGACATACAGAGCTATGTAACCCTGGTAAACATGATCAAATGACTTTGACACAGTACCAAGATCATTCAATGGGGAAAGGATGATCGTATGACAAACAATACTGGGGAAAAGTGAAAATGAACATGTAAAAGGATAAATATGCACCTTTATTTGACATATATAAAATAATAATAATAATAAAACCTCAATAAGGCCTAAAACAACTATAAGAGTCTTAAAACAATGCAAAAGTTTCACAGCAGTAGTTCTGTCTTGGATATGGCAACAAAGGAAAAAGTTGACAAGTTGGGCTTCATGAAAACTAATTTTTGTATGCCAAAACCCAGGATTTTTTTAAAGGTAGCCCACAGAACGAGATAAAATACATAGAAATAGTTTATCAACCAGAGATTAATAGGAAGAATACATATAGAACTCCTAAAATTCAACAACAAAAAGCAAAGAATTCCATTTAAAAACTAGAAAAGGACTCGAATAGGCATTTCCACAAAAATATGCAACTGGCAAAACCAGGAATGGTAGTGCAGACCATTAATCCCAGCACTCAGGAGGCAGAGGCAGGCAGATCTCTTGTGAGATCAAAGCCAAGCTGGTCTCCATAGTGAGTTCCAGTTCCAGGCCAGTTGAAGCTACAGGGAGAACCTGTCTCAAAAAGGAGAAAAAAAAAAAAAAGGGCAACTGGTCACCAAGCGCATACAAAAAGATGATCACTAATCATTAGGGAAATGCTAACCAGAACTATCATGATATAACCTCCTACCCATTAGGATGATTACTACTTAAAAAACAAACAAACAAACAAAAAACAGAAAAATCAGGCATAGTAATATATATCTACATCCAATCCCAGTTATCGGGTGTGTGTGTGTTTGTGTGTGTGTCTGTGTGTGTGTAAGAATATCCAGGATTTGAGGCTAGCCTGGATAAATGGTGAGCAACAACAGCCAGAAAATAATAAGTGCTGGTGGAACCGGGGGTGGCGGGGGGCAGTAGTACTGGAACATCTGTGAACTGCTGGTGAAAATTTGGAAAGTTGCAGAAAACAGTATAGTGGTTCCTTTAAAAGTTTAAAATATAATTACTATATAATCGATATATAACAGGATTCCACCTATTCAAGTATCCAAAATCAGTAAGACAAAAGGTAGAATAAGGTTTCATTTTACAAGATAAAGTAAGTTCTGTGGGGTCTGGAGAGATGGCTTGGCAGTTAAGAGTACTGGCTGCTCTTGTAGAGGACCTGGGTTTGATTCCCAGCACCCACATGGTGTTACGAATCATCCTTAACTCCAGTTCCAGGGCAATCCTGGAGTTCCAGGGGAATCCGATGCCTTCTTCTGACCTCTGCGGCATTGCATGATACGATGCACTCACATACATGCAGACAATATACTCATACACATAAAATAAAAATAATTAATATATTAAAAAAAGGGAAAAAGTTCTGTGGATGGAGGACATGGATGGTTTCAAAACATAACAAGAACTGTGGTATTTGGTAAATGTTCTCTTATGCATCTTACAATAAAAAAGTTGAGGAAAAAAATAAACACACACATATATAAACAATTATGCTAAATCAAAGAAACATGACTCAAAAAGTCATATATCATAAGGTTAACTTCCATAAAGTGTGCAGAATAGGTAAGCCCATAAAGATAAAAATGATGGGCCAGAGAGATGGCTCAGCTGGTAAAAGTGCTTGCTGTGCAACAAGCCTGACAAATTTTGATCCCTGGGATCCACATCAAGGTGGAAAGAAAGACCCAACTCCACAAAGTTGTCCTCTGACTTTCACATGTGTATCACAGCATGCATGAGCATTACCATAATATACACAAAAGAAATGAAAATTTTTATTCTTAATATTTTTTATTTGTGTGTATGAGTGTATTATGTGCATGCATGTAGGTGCACCAGTGTCAGGTAATGCCTGAGGAAGTTGGAAGAAGGCATCGGATCCCTTGGAACTGGAGTTATGGACAGTTGTTAGCTGCCATGTGGCTGCTGAGAATCGAACCCAGGACCTCTAGCAAATGTTCCTAACTGCTGAGCCATCTTTCCAGACACTATTTTCATTTTTTTGAGACAGGGTATCCCAGCCCCAGCTGGCCTGGAACTCACTATGTAGACCAGGTTGGCCTCATTCAGAGATTTGCCTGCTTCTGCCTCTTGAGTGTTGGGATTAAAAGCATGTGCCACTATGCCAAGCCATAAAATAAAACTTTTAAATAGATGCATGGTTACATTCTTCAAGGAGGAATTGAGAGGTACAGGATTGAAGTATAGTTTTTTATGTTGAAATGTTCTAAAAGATAGTGGTAATGGTTGTACAACACTATAAATATAGTAAGTACTAAATTGTACTCTTAAAATTTCTATTTATTGTATGTGTATGAGTGTTTTGCTTGCATGTATATACTTACATGCAAAGGTACATTGCACCTTTGTGTGCAATGCCTGAGGAGGTCAGAAGTTGAATTTCCTGGGACTGGATAGTTGGGTGCCATGTGGGTGCCAGGAACTGAACCTGGGTCCCCTACAAGAGCAGCAGTACTCTTAATCATACTCTTTAAGACAGCTTGTTGAATTTTATCATAGGTAAGAAACACTGAATGGTAGTTGAGATGCCAGTTAGGACACTTAACTCTTTCATAGTTCAGGCTTATATGTTAAAAGAAAACAAAGAAGATAAAACTATGCAGAAGCCAGGCATGGTGGCACACATCTATAATCCTAGAAATGGGGAGGCAGAGGCAACAGCTGGAGTTTGAGGTCAATTGTAGCTATACCATAAATTTAAAGCCCATCTTACATGCAGCAAGACCTGTCTCCAAAAACCACAACAAAAAGGATTAGAAAACTAAATAGAGAATCAATGTCACTAGGGTGTCTTAAAAGCATTAAAAAAAAATGTTTAATGCCCAACTGTAAATGAGTTATTGCTTACAAAAGTTTTGTTTTTTCCTATTTATCTGGTATATGAATTTCTCACATATGAAGTTTTTATAGATTCCATGAGACATACAACAGAATGTTGACTATTAAAACAGTTACCAACCTAGCTGTCGAGAACTTCAAATTAAATTATAATACCAGATAATTTTATTTAAAAAAGAATTTAACTAACATAGGTTGAAGTTCCTTTAATGCTGTTTCCTTAATCTCACCTATACATCCTCAGAAAAAAATCTATTACAAAGCTGATGTACAGGAAGGAGACCACACTCTTGGGCTTTAGTTACAAACAGCATAAAGATAGTCTCATTTGTACTGTTCAAAACTTACACACATGATTTATTATGCTTATTCTACTGCAACTTGTTTTCACTAAAATTATATTAAGGTCTATCCACACCTACTTTTTTTTTAGTATTAAAACTTCTATGAAGCTGGGCACGGTTGTGCACACCTTTTTCTTTTTAAAGACATTTTGATGATTACACAGCGCTGGCAATGTCCTACTGCTACCATTACCCTCATCCCCAAGGGGGGCTTTTCTCTCTTCTCTTAAACTCACGATCAAGAGATACCTCTTTTGATCACACTGTAACAGTCCCCTGGAATTCCAGGCCAAAGCAAAAATATCCATTAGCTAGGTAGTTTGTAAGGAAGTTAAATAATGATTACAGAAAGTGATGCTGTCATTCATGAAGCTACCTAAAAATACACTTAGATACATACAGATTAGAGATGCATGCACCAACATCTAAGTGTTATTAGTAAAAACAATGAGTATCTCTGTAAGAAACAGTACATTTTAAAATGAAATGGAGATCTTTTTTAAAGGTTAAAAGGTCATTCAATTTTATGTCTTACGGGGTTTATACTGAGTTCAATATTGTATAACTGTATTAATTCAACTGTGAACCTAAAAATTTTATAGCCACTTTTGAAAGAAATGTATCTATGCTCTGGAAATTGTTATTGAGTATGTTAAAGCTGTAATGAAATGCTTCTTCTAAAAAATAAAAAAAATATATTGAAAAAAAGTATTCACACATAAAGTTTTAGAGCAATTTTAGCATTTTTGTTTGTTTTAGGAGACAGGGCCATGCTAGTCCAGTTGGCCTGGAATTCACAATCCTGTCTCCACCTCCAAGTGCTGAGATCACAAGTGATTACAAATGTGTTCAGCTGATGGGTTGGGTTGTTTCTGATAGTTCTTTTTTGGAGCTATAGCTTATCAAAGAAAGGATATTATCAGCACCTATAAACTGGATTCAAAAAAAATTACTGTGAATATTAAATGTATGTAGATATCTATACATATATATGTATTAATATGGTTATATGCAGAGAAAAATGTCTGGTACAGTTATTAAACTTATTATGACTCATAACAGACGCTATGCAATTCATTGGTAAAAAACAAATGTGTTCCATCTAAAGAATTTCAGCAGAAAGGTCATCAACATTAAAGGCAGCAAAACACCTAGTGATACTTACCCACAAGTAGTATGTGAACTGCAGTGCAAAAATAGCAATGCCTTCATTATCAAAGGATCCAGCTACTGACCGAGATATGTACCCTGGTACAATAGCAATAAAACAAGCAGCTAAAAGTCCTGCTCCTTGGTTCCAAAGCTCTCTAGTTAGCAGAAACGTAGATATAGATGTAAGGCCGCTAAAAGTTGGTGCAAGGAACACACATACATCTCTTATATGAACTGTTATGTTCAATGTATTTAAAATCCAATGGATAAGGCCAGCTGTTATCATCAACCCTGGGTAAACCTGAGAAATAAAAAAAAAAAAAAAGAGGAAAACTTAATTACATATAAACCAAGGAATCCGAAAATAACACTTGTTCTTTTTTATTATTATATATCCTTTACAGTAAGTGTCAGAAAAAGAGCTTGCCCATCTTATAAAATTAATCTTCTTGGAATGGATTCAAAGAACAAAATCATACATGGAATACACACTTTAAAAGAACAGTAGAGAAAATATGAAAGAATGATTAAAATAAAAAATCTTTAACAATGTTAAACCATGACTAGTTTTCTTATTGATTCCATTCATTCTTTTTCTCATTCCTAAACAGTGTCTTGGTCATTTACTTTGACCTTGGTCAGAGACTGGGATTTTAACACACTCTAGTCTTCTTCTTACTGTGTGTATATAAAAGGAGAAAAGGAGATAAAGGTGTAACAAAAATTATATGCAAAATTTAGGTAGTATATAAATAAGTCTCCCTTATTTTTAATTCCAAGATTCAGAAAGTAAATACCTCCAGTTAAGAAGGACCCATGGGGGCTGGAGAGATGGCTCAGCAGTTAAAAGCACTGACTGCTCCTGCAGAGGACCCAGGTTCGATTTCCAGCACCCACACGGTGGCTAACAACCATCCTAACTCCAGTTCTGGGTGAATTAGGCACTTTCTTCTGACCTCCATGGGCACTGCACGACATGAGTGCACTTACACACATGCAGGCAATACACTCATACACATAAAGTAAAAATAATAAAATACTTAAAAAAAAAAAGAAGTATCCATCATTTGGGACTCAAAAGATTCTTAAAAGACTTATTAAAATTCTTATGTCATTTGAAGTACTAATGATGGTGGAAAGTGATATACTGGAAGAGGCAGTTAATAGTTACATTCGTTCTTACTCTAAAAGAAGAGCATCAAACATTACGATGATCCAATATTTGGGGTTATTTCTGAATTATTCTTCAGTGATTAAAATGTGCATTCATATCTGCATTCTCAACTAGATCCTAAAAGGATCTTTTTTTATCCACCATAACTGAAACTATAAAGGTTATGTCATAAATTTATTTCTTGACTATACTATTTAAAACTGCATGTCTCAGGTCCGCCATCTTTAACTCACAACCTTGCCTTTTTCCCTAACATTTATCAATAATTTGACATACTATTGATATTATCTTAACTGCTGAATCTCACAACATAAGCTCCAGAAGAAAATTTCTCAGCATTGAGAACAGGAAGAGAAACAAAGTGAATATCCAATGTCTAATGAATACATGAATAAGAGGATTGAGAGGAGAGGAACAGTATAGTAATCCATCATTATTCTTAAAAAATTCTGCTCCATTTCTCATTCAATACTAGGTCCTACGATATGATTTTGTCAGCAGTATTGAAAGAAAACAGAAATGAATTTGAAAATGCCTCTCAAGGTAAGTCAATATTCATGTAATATAGCAAACTGCTCTAACATAAGAAAACAGTCAAACTACAAAGAAGTACTGGATGAAAGGACAAAAACCAGAGACTCCCAATAACAAAGACAGATTGAAAATTTGTAAAAAAATTAAAGGTACCAAAAAATTGAGGAAATTCAAAATAGGTATTGAAGTCACTGGAGTCTACAAAAGAGAGAAAGCAAAAAAGCCCCGGAAAACAGGTATGTAACATTTTAGGGGCTGGAGGCTGAGCAGTTTTCACTTGACAGGGGTCAGAGAGAGTCTAATTCCCAGTAAAGTTAGATCCTGTTTATGAAACTAAACTAGGAAAATTCATTGTACATTACTGATATGCGTAAGTCAAAATTACAAAAATATTAGGTTATGAGAAACCTTGAGCAAGGGCTAGGTAGATAACTCAGTTGGTAATATGCTTGCCACACAAACATGAGGACCTGGTTTGAGTGATCCTCATACCCTATATAGAAATCTGGGTGTAGCAGTACACTCTTGTAATCCTAGGCTGGGGATGTAGAGACAGGTAGATACCAGGAGGTTGCTGGCCAATCAACCCAGCCCAATTAGGGAGCTCCAGGCCAGTGAGAGATCCTGTCTCAAAAAAACAGAAATATAAACCAAGTAGATGGCACCTAGAGAACACCTGTGGGTTGACCGCTGACCTCCTCATTCACACAAACATATAAACTCAAGCTGAGAAATGATCTCTGAAATATGATCTAAAACTAATAAAACTCTTACAGAGTCCAACAAAGACAAATGAGAAAGATTATTAAAGGGATGGTTTAAAAATTCAGAATACCAGGAAGTCTCAGAACAGATCTCTGCAAAGATGAACTCAAGATAAATTATAAACTTTGAAAGAAACAAAGTACCCAGTCATTGGGATAAACACCATGGGGTATATGACAAGACCAGCATCAGAAAAACTGTAGGTCCACTTATCTGCCAGGCCCAGTATTAACCCAGAGATCACAGTGGAGACCACTGTGACCACTCTAACCTTCAGCTCTGTATCAGGTAGGATCCCCAGACTAGAAGCACAACACCATAATACCACGTAACATATATTCTTTCTAAGCACAGAAGGAACATGTACTGAAAATCAAATTTCACAAAAATCTTAAAAGCTGGAAATTCTGTAAGCCTGTTCTCTAACCACAATACAGTTGAAGTACTGAAACAAAACAAACAAACAAAAAACCCCTACCAAGTCTTCTGTTTAAAAATTAATACAATTCTAGGGCTGGAGAGATGGCTCAGCGGTTAAGAGCACTGACTGCTCTTGCAGAGGACCTGGGTTCGATTCCCAGCACCCATATGGCGGCTATGAACTGTCCTTAACTCCAGTTCCAGGGGAATCTGACACCCTCTTCTCACCTCCGTGGCATTGCACGACATAGGTGCACTCACATACATGCAGGCGATACACTCATACACATAAAATAAAAATAAATTAAAAAAAATTAATACAATTCTTTCTGGGTACAGTGGCTCGTACCTGTAATCCCATGACTTGGAAGGCTGAGGCAGAAGGATTATTATTAAGTTAAAGGCTAGCAGGGACTAGAGCAAGAGCTTGTCATTACAGGACAAAACAAAAACTCCACATGTAGGGAGAATTCTAGTGGAAACTAAAATCCTAAAACTAAAGAATGAAAACATTGGACATCAAACCTTAGGAAAATAATGAAAAAAAAGAAGGTTGAAAATTATTAAACAAATCACAGAAAATCAGGAAAGGAAAAATGAACTCAAGGAAATACGAGAAAGGAAATAGTAATAAAACAAAAAAAAAATTGAAATAACAGAGCAAAAGTACATTTGGAATAAGAAAATACCAAATGATATTGATAAACTTCCCCTCAAGAAAAAATTACCAAGCATACAGATGCCCTCAATAGCCGTTTTCTCTACAATATTCTCCCTACACACCAAATCCTTAAAACCTTCCTGTACATCATCTTTCTGGGCATCAGAACTCTACATGCACTATAATCAAGATTCAATTATCTAGAATAATTCAGATTTGAGGTCCCAAATTTAAATTATTTGATTATTCTAAATTTCTATTTCCTTCCAAAAAGGTTTTATTTTAAACTCAGTTGCTACAGAACAAAGCAAAAACATACAACCTAAACTTGAGATGCTTTGTGACAGGAGATTCCCAATCCAGCCTCTGCAACTTGTCAGAAACAAGGGTTAGTATGAGACAACCCACAAATCAACCACCAAGAAAGAAGCTAAGAAATATTGGCTCATGAACCACAGAAGAGGTATTTGTGAACTATATGCAGATTTCAAAGAACCCTGTCCCCTTCGAAGTTAATGATTTACTCAAAAGATGGTAAAATTTTATAGTTAACATAAATAATAGCGATTATACTTACAGTACCACCTACTATTCTTCCTAGTGGATACCATGCTCTTTCATCAAACCAATTTAAAAATTCATAGAACCCATGAGAGGCAAGATGATGTGTTGATCTATAGTTAAACCTGCAGAAAAGAAAAGAAATGCTATAAAACTGATTAACAGAAATCTTTCTTTATATCCAATTCTATGGCTACACAAATATCTTTCATAGTGATTTCCCTCAAACTTGAGTAACAAAAATCTGAAGATTTCAAGCAAATGTGTTTACCTCTATATAACTAAATATACTTCTAATATAACTAAATATACCACCAGCACTCCCCTAATATCCACATATATAAAATCAGTAATGCTCAAACTAGCCTCTAATGCTTGGGGTCCAAGGCAGAAGGCTGTAATTTAAAAAACGAAAAGAAAAGAAAAAAGAAAAGGGGTCATAGAATTCATCTAATCATAAAAGAAGTCCATGATTCAAAACAAGAACCACTAACAGGAGGCAGCATCAACATGGAGGAGGAGTTTATGGTTAAGTAACATCCAAAAAGTGTATAGAACAGTCATAGCACCTTAAAAATAAAACAACAGGGGCTGGAGAGATGTCTCAGCAGTTAAAAGCACTGGCTGGTCTTGCAGAGGACCCATGTTCTGTTCCCAGCACACAACAGGGCAGCTAAGAAGGAGCCATACATCCCATTCCAGGGGATCCAACGCCCTCTTCTGACATCTGTGGGCATTGCACGACACAGGCACACTTAGATACATGCAGGCAAAACACACACATAAGATAAAAAGTACAATAAAGTTCTCTCTGACCCGCAGGTCTGGCCCCGCCCTCACCTCCCTCTGCTTCCCTGGGCCTGCATGCCCCTCTCCAACCCACAGGCCTCTCTGCTGTGTGTGTGTGTGTGTGTGTGTGTGTGTGTGTGTGTGTGTGTAAGTCTATCTTGCCCTCCCTGCTTGACTCCCCGAACCTCATCCACCCTCCCAACCCCGCACCCTTCTCTCTTCCTAGCCTGGGTCCTGTCCTATTCCTTGTCTTGCCACCCCAGGCACCAGGGGAACCACCACTTCATGATCCTTTGCATCCAGACCAACTCAGTTCCTTCTCCTGTCCACAGGAGCACTCTGGGCCTGGCCTCGCCCTCACCTCCCTCTACTTCCCTGGGCCTGCAAAACCCTCCAGCCTCTTTCCTGGACGCCTGGGCTGAACTTTCTTTCCTCTTCCTGATCCTTTGCAACCAGACCAACCCAGCTCCTCAGTGCAATTCCCAGGAGCTCTGGGGGTTGCTTCACGCCCTCATCTTCCTTTGCATCTCTGGGTGGCACTACAACCACCAGCCCTAGACCAGCATCTTTCCTGGACCCAGCTCCCAGGCCGGTCCAACCCCCAAATTCCTGAGGCCAAAATGTTTCCTAGAGGGATCCAGACCTTAGGAAAAGCCTGAAAACATCTGATCCTCATCTGACTTGGGCCTCTGTGGGAACTCTGAAGACAAAAGCAATCTGGCCACTCCAATATAAAATATAAACTCAAAAGGGACAGCCTGAAGCCTAGACCAACCAGCTTTTTATGTCCAACAAGTAAACTACAAAGGCACATAAAGTTTACAAAAATAAGCAGAACTAAACTCAACAAAGGAAAGCTTGAGTCTCATAGAAGAGCCAGAATCTACAAAAGAAATCCACATGCCAAAGTCACAGAGAAAAGTAATAACATGAAAAATCAAAATAACATATCCCCACCAAATACCGATAGTCCTCTAGAGGAGTACAATGAGAACCTGCTAGAGATAATGGAGACATGGAACTCAAAAGAACAATTATAAACATGATAAAAGAATTCAATGAATTTAAAGAACACACAAAGAAATCAAAGAACTGAAGGAAGATAGGGATAAACTTCTGAATGAATTCAGAAAAGAATTAGAAATACTGAGGAATACTCAGGCTGAAAAGAAGAAAGTGAAACTCGGTAAACCAATGAGAAATGACAGGAGAAAGCCTCACTAAAAGGATGAATGAAATGGAAAACAGAGTATCAAGACTGGAAGATAAAGTTGACGAACCAGACCACTCAAGCAAAGATTATGAAAAATTTAAGAAATCACAAGAATGGAATATGCAGGAATTGTGTGACACCATAAAAAGACCAAAATTACGAATCATAGGCATACAGGAAGGAGAAGAATCCCAAGATCATGGCATGAACCAGATCTTCAAAAGAATCGTGGAAGAAAATTTCCCAAAATTAAAGACATGCCCATACAAATACAAGAAGCATATAGAACACCAAACAGCCAGGACCAGAAAAGAAACTCTCCCTGGCACATCATAGTAAAAACACTACACATACTAAACAAAGAGACAATTCTGAAAGATGCAAAAGAGAAAGAACAAGTCACATATAAAGGAAAACCCATTAGGATTACAGCTGACATTTCAGTGAAAACTATGAAAGCCAGAAGAGTCTGGACCAAAGTATTCCCTGTTTAAAATGACCACAGATGCCAACCCAGATTACTATATCCAGCCAAAATGTCTATTATAGTTGAAGGGGA